AACTTTATCGTTATTTGAAGAAAGTCTGGCCTTCTTGTTGTTTGGTTGTTTACCCATGTCTAGGGTAATATGTTTATACTTTCTGGACACTAAGGTCCTTGTTTCGTCTGGTTTTTGAAAGAAATCAAGTTGTGTTTGTACCAAAATTTTGTTTTTAGTATAAATTCCGGAAGTGAATCGGAAAGAGTTTATATCCAAATTTTTTGTTTATCACATGAAATCATTCAATTTTTGCTATAATTGAGCTGCCATATTTATTTACAACTATGTCATATATACATATTTACATACAATTCATATGAAAAAAGCACACATGCTTCAAAAAAAAAAAATTTTTTTTATTGAAATAAAAGGTGACTAATAATAAAAAGGGCCTTTGACATCACAACTAGAATAATGACAAAAAACTGGAAGCACTCTGGGCCACTATTCATTTATAAGAAAATATAACTGTTTGATAAACATCTTTCTTTGTCCATTTTCATGACACCTCGATTAAAATGACAAAAGCAAATAAGTAATTTGCCAAGAAAAAAAGGCTGCTATTATAACCAAAAAAACCAGATATTTACGAAGTTACAAAATGTAACCATTATTGAATCACAAGAGGAATTGATATAAAAAGAATGGATGCAAGAGGAATGGACACAAGAGGAATGGACACAAGAGGAATGGATGCAAAAGAAATGGACAGAAGATGAACTAGCAGAATTCAAAAGAGTGGAAAAAAGACTTATCAATGAAATTCTTAGGTGGCATAAGGATGCTGCAAAAAGCCTTAGATCGGTATATACTGGAACCTCGAGAACGACAACATAAAGACAAGACAAAAAAAAAACAATGAAGAGAACGCAAAAGGAATCAAAAAACTTAACACTTTTTTCAACCAAATTTATTAACATTAATGACTTCCCAACAGACTTGTCAAGAATCTTACATGCCAACATCCTTATCATCATATCCTCCTCCAATTATTATACTAGATCCATCATTATCTTTGTGATTACCTGAAAATTTATGTATCTGTTTAGAAGAACTTAATAATCGATGTTTGATAGGAAAATCTATGAAGGAAAATAGTAATACCTTTACATATATACATTTATGTTTTCTAAGTATATGCTGATTTATATAATTATTATTAGAAGGACAGGGTAAATTGAATGCAGCTAATCAGATTGCATGTTTCATATGGAATAAAGAGGGTTATATGGCTAAATATATTCGAATGTGGAGAAATCATTTTATAAAGACAGGAAAACTTCTTCCCTACTGCCAAGGTAAATATACCAAACTTGAAAGCTTGATTAACAATGAGGATTTTACTGAAAGTTGTAAATAATGATTAAGACAACAAAAACCAGTAACACGTACCTCTAGTACCGTACGGCACTGACTACAGTACCTCGGGTACTATTCAATCAACTATTAAATTTCTTGAATAGTATCCTCCTGGGTACTAATTACGGAGGAGGGTACTATAACAGAAGGATACTTTATATAGTTTAATATTAGTTTAATAAGGATTCAAATATAAATATTATATATATCTAACTAGAATAATATTCAGGTCTTATTTAATCTTCTGAATCATGAACCCATGAATTGTACCTGGGTCTTTTTCATAGGGATATTATAGCAGGGGGGATACTATAGTCAGTGCTATACGGTAATTTGAAAGTATATATTGAGAATACACTATTTCCAAACTTGGTTAGTCATATTAAAAAAGACACTATATTGGAGAGAACATGTAAGAATTATATGTATTTGTGGGGCTTTAAATATGATGAGAGAAGGAAGAGTATTTACTTTGACGGTCATGAGAGACCAGATGTGGTGGTATATAAGAACAAATGAGTAAAGAGAATGTTCTCATATAAAGAAAATATGAAAAATTTTGTTGGTGAGTCGTTAGAATTTGTAGTAAAGCCTCAGCTCAATTTAGGGGAGAAAGAATACATTCAAATAATGTATAATGAATATTATTTCTATGCTAATAATGGGCGGCGTCAAATTTGGATTTAGGAAGGCAAAACTATTTTGCGCCCAAAACATCTGAGGTGCTCTATAATAGTCTCTGCTTTTTTGTGTCTGTGCTATGAACTACTGCGACTATCTGATCAGCAGCTATATAACAATCCACACATTAAAGATAAAGAAACATTTATTATTCGTTCTGTTCAGGTAGATGGATATTGGAAGGCAGAGCACATGCTTGATTAACTTGTGAATAAAGTAATCTCAGTATTTGAAATATTGCACCTGGATGCATCAGCGTATTTTGCTTCAACCAATCTACTAATCATAACGTTATGGCAAAGGATGCACTAATCGCAAAAAGGATGAACTTGAGTTCTGATGGGAAGCAATCAATAATGAGAGATGGTTGGTTTATTGATGAAAGTGGAAAAAATTGTGTGCAACTGATGGTATTTCCGAATGACTATCCAAAAAAAGAGTTAAGAAGCAAACAAAAGAGTATAAAGCAAGTTCTTGAAGTGTGAAAACTTTGGCCCACAAAAAAGGTTCGATTGACATGCGAAAATTGTTCTGAAAAATATGCTAATAAAATTTTAAAAAAAAACTCTTTCCGGTTCACTTCCGGAATTTATACTAAAAACAAAATTTTGGTACAAACACAACTTGATTTCTTTC